ATTTTTGGTTCATGGGTGTCCTCTCTCTCCCGATTTAGCAGCATCCACCCTTTCGCTGACGTCACATTATTATCTTTTCGCACTAGTAATGAATACTAAAGTTTCATATTGTACCTAAAAGTGGATACATGTACCTAAACAGTAAACATGTATTTTTATGTGCATATATTTTTGGTAGTTAGTGAACTACATCTTCCTTTTGTACCATAACAATTTTTCTACTTACATGAAACAATATTTTACAACGTTCCAAATGTACCTAAAATAATTTGCTTGTACCAAATGTACGTTCAAATTTAACAAGCTGAAGAGTAGGTACAATTCAACCTGGTTTTACATCACTATATCGCACCCCTTGTTCGCTTCTTCCTCTTCTTCTTCAAAATTATTCTTTACACACTCCCGCAATCTTGTATTCTATAATTCTTGCATTGTGATCACAAAAATTATATTTTATTTATTTAGTTGTGCCTGAACAGCGTTTCTATGAATAACATCACTTCTTTCCTACTCGGAATCAAAGCAAATACGAAAAAGTAGTGGGTAAACGCATAGTTTGGTATGCGATAAGAGTTATGAGATATCTCTTACTTTAAATCGCAAGAAATTGCAAGAATTTACAGGATTTTACCAGAAAGCGTTGCCGTACTCCGTTCTCTGGCAAAGTAGGGGAAAAATAGGAGAGTAAAATCGATCCTCTCTTTGTCAGAAGTTGCAAGATTTTACCCAAAGAATTTTTGCTAGTAAAATCTAGTAAATCGTCAAACCATCAGCTGTTCAAATGATTTCAAATTTGAATAAGCAAAAAAAAAATGTGCATCTGCATTTTCACCTTATTAAACATATCATAGCGAAGAAGTATTGAACAGGTTATTCCTCTGCTTTCAAAGTATATACCTAAGTACGTTGTCTTCCAAATGTTGTATTCGATCGTCGCTCCACTGATACACGATGGTAAGCGGTATTACCAGGGTGGGAAATAAAGTCAATTGACCTTATTTCCGTTGATCTTGTTACCTGTCACCATGATTCAATAATACAAGGTTAGATAATTATTCACAGCCGCGGTTTGACACTCCCTTACAAAAGGTTGCATTTACGAAGGACGGAGAAAGACGAAGAATGCAAACCCTTGGAAATTCCTTTTGTAAATTCCAATGCAATTTGCAGGAAATCTGGCATTTTAAACGAAATACTCAACGTAATATTACAATATCTACGTGAATTACGTAATTTATGTGTTATTTAGCTGTATAAAAACTGCAAAAGGGCTCAAAATTAATTTAAAACTACAGCGACTTTTATGTAAATATCCAATTTTAAAAAAGTTTATGTTTTCATAAGTTAAATGTGCTTCATATGTATATACAAATAAACATATTGCACAAAAGCTTATACTTCTATTTCACACCAAAGCTACACTTTTTCCAAGTAAATTTGCAAAGAAGCAACACGGTGCCACTGCTAAGGGAGCGGTGCGAGAGAGAAAACTGTCAGTTTATCGAACATTGTATTATTGAATCATGGCCTGTCACTAAATTCAACCTTGACAGACTGCCAGGTGGTCGATTTTGTTACGAACACATACAAAGCAAATTAGCACAATGGAAGAGGTAAGAATGAAATGTAACCAGCCAGATAAGTTAAATAATACACCATTTTGTTCAATTATTTACCAAGATGCGTTCATGAAAGAATGCGGATTAACTGATAAATTTAAGCAATTTATTCCTTTATCCCTTTAGATGAAGACCGCTATTATTTATACTCTGATTTTCGCAGCGGTCCTTCTGAACGTCAAAATGACGTGTTTGTTGTAAACAAGGCGAATTCATGTTACAACAAAACATCATTTTGACATTCAGAAGGACTGCGGTGAAAATTTAAATTCGCCATTAACACCACCTTGGTTAAATTCGCCTTGGACGGAACCAACAAACGTTGGCCAACACTCAACTTTTGACGCAAGTAGGTCCGGCAGTGCTGACAGTTATATTACTTTGCGTTTATACAAGCCAAGAATATTTAGAATATTTCGAATGAAACCTTTGGAGCAGAAAATAGTAGTAGAAAAGTACGCAAAGTAGGCTATTAGTAGTGAAATTCCTTTTGTAAATTCGGATGTATTTGCAGGGAATTTGACATTTTAAATGAAATATTGAATGAAATATACGTAAATTTTGTGCTAGTTAGCCGTATAAAAACTGTATTGCTGTACTATTCGTATTAATTGCTTGAATACGTCGAAAAAGGGAAAAAAAAGTTTGTCCTTAATTCATGGTTTGGTAGCACCTTCAATTTAATCCAGTGATATTCTCATAAAATTGTATACATGTACATATGTACCTACAGTCAACTATAAAAGTCTATGTACAAAGAAAAATTCAAATTTTTAATTTTTATTTGTTTCCATTTTTTTTCTTAAATATAGTTCATATTACGACGGAACCCCCCATAAAAAATGTCAAAAATCAATGGGATTTTTTAGAAACTTCAAATTTGCATTTTACTACACTAAAATTGCACAAACAAGATTTATCTAAAAAAATCCGATTAAAAAGTTAAGCGTTTTCGTACAATTCCACTTAATGTTCTGAAGTTTTGCACAAAGCAAAATAAAAAACTTTGCTGTGAAAAATTCACATTGACGCTTTCGTGATATTTTACTCAATTTTAATTTTATGGTGAAAAACATTACCCCGTGATTTTAACTAATAATTTGATCCATATTCAAGGTATTTATACCAAAATCGGGGCGCCCGTGGTTAACCACGTCAGCAATAAAGGGTTAAAGCTCACTGAGACAGAAGTAAATCCTTATCTCCATCTATACAAATTTAGTCCGTTTTTGGTATCTCAAAGGTATTTTTTATTTTATTTTTTATATAAAATTAATTTAAATGTATGTATGTAATGTATGCAGCATCGAGATGTGCGTATTTTTGGTTTAACTTTTTCGATTGTATGTACATGACGATATTTTTGAATACTCATATTTAGGTTTTCATATGCATTTTGATTTTTAAATCCCTTTTTCTTGCTTCCGTACATACATATTTATATGGCAAGACAGTTGATCTAAGCATAAAACTAATATGCTATTTTCGTATAACAAGTTCATGCATATACATATATTATATCTACCAATTACTGACACTATTTTAATGTACGCAGGCATAAGAATGTACTAAATAAAATCAACAACTAAATTATTAAAATAAATAAACTCTGAATTAAAATCCTTATATACGCTTGTCCACAAAAGTCACATTCATAAATAAACAAACACACCCACTTGCTGCTTATTTACAAGCGTGACTTTGATGTTCACATTATTACATTTCAGTGCAAAAACAATTGTATATGGCCTAAATCTGACTAGAACACAATGCTTAGGAGGTCACTTCCCTAATGGAAATTTTAAATTATTTTTTAAACTAAAAACTGAAAATAATAAAAGGAATTCAAACGCTGGTGTTGATTTCATCTTTTCGAAAAAAGGTCGCTGTGTTGTATTTGGTTGCTTTTGTAGTTTTCCAATCTGAGTAGCTTCAGCATCTTTAACGTCTTTCAACAAAGCCACTGATAAAGTCTCTTAGTTGTTCTTTTTGCTTTCCTTATTTTCACCTTCTTTTGCCTGACCACGCCCCAATATCTTTGCTAAGCTATCCCAGATTCCGCCGAAGAAAATAGCGCAGGACAAGTTCTCAAACGGCAGGAAAGGATCGTGTATTCCCAAAAGAATGGAAGAGAGTTTAAAGTACACAAGGAAGATGACAATGCCAAAATACACAAGTGCATGTGGTGCCGATATCCAATCGGTCTTTTTGTCCAGAACGAATATGATCGAAGCCAGCAATGAAGCCTTTGTATAGCTAAGTAAAGTACAAAAAATTATTCGTACATGAATGATATTTAAGCATAGATATTTAACTTACAATGAAGGTTGCATGAATTCCATAGCTGTAGGTGTCCAAGCACCACGAATCAGTCTCTCTAGAAGTTTAGTGAATCCAGCACCATTGCCCTTTAGGGTACCAATAATGATCATTATGATCCAAGCGTTAGGATACAATTTTGCTGCATGTGAGACTCCATCATAAACTTTCTTAGCGCGATAGATTTCTTTCATTGCACTAGCCACTACTTTAATGGGAAGAAATTTGCCAACTTTATAGCCGATATCAAAGGGCGTGTAAAAAATCATGTACCTGTGTAAATATACATACATACATACATGTTTGTGAATTGAAATACAAAATTATAAATTATTTTACACCGGAAAAAGCTAAGAGACTCACCAGACAACAGTGCCAACCATTAATTGCGGTGTGTTTTTGAGAGGAGCCAGAATAGGTTCGCCGAGCAAAGCATTAGCTACCATACCTCCGGAGAATATGACTAACATAGTGGAAAGCCAACAAGCGAGTGGATGTTTCCGTGAGAACGATTGTGCATTCGAACCTAAATCTTCTCTTACAGCCAGTGCAGCAAGCAGGCTGTGTGCGATGTCGAAGTATGGAAACATTTTCAGCTTTATGACCTGATTGGCCATATCCAAGAATGCTTCGGGATCCATCTTGTTGGCTAACTGGAAAATAAATAGACGTTTAAATTATATTTCCATAATTGTGGGTTTAGTGTTATTTAAAGCCACGTAAGTGCATATTCACGCTTCTAATACTAGGTATATCGTCTTAAACCTTAAAAACTAAACTTTAAATGCAAAAGGTATTCCAGATGCGGTCAAGATAAAAAAACTACTGTCAGCGTTTAGAACAATTTTTGGTATGCCTGAATGCTGGGAAAACGCTAAAAATAGAATTTTCGGATCTTTTCTTTTTTAGAAAACTGGCACAGCACTCAAGATACCGTTACATAAGTTTTATTTCCCAGATTTATATGTAAACAATGACTTAAAATCCCAAAGCTTTTGTTAATCTTATCATTGTTCAATATTATATATGATAATTTAAGATAATGAATTAACTTTACTTTTCTCCGCTCCGAGCCAAATCCGCAACACAAAAAACACAAGCACGTAATTTACGTTCTCTGTCCGGCGACCAGTGCTGCCAATCAATGATTACAAATGCAGAACTTTGCAACACTCTTTTCGTCTCCATCTTCGGCTTCAGTAGTCCTCTCATTCCAACAATTGAAGTAGCTGTCAATTCGCACGGCGAAATTCTACGCGGCGAAATGTCCCTTCAATAACGCGTCTGTTTTGCACGGCAAGAAAACTGCGCTACTTTCCCATCTAAAATTTAGTGATTCGTTGAAAAAATGTTAAAGAAAACAATATAATTTGTAGGAAAACTTGCAAAATAGTAAAGCAGCTACAGAGCGCAAAACCCGCACTCAATACAATACGCAAATAATCGTAAGTTAAATTGTGAACTTGAACGGCGGTTTTTGACGGAGTAGTCACTAAAAATAGTTCTACTGATTACAGGTTGTGCCGTCGTGCAAAAGTCTTAGAAAATGGAGTCGTTATTCGATAAACTAAAATCAGAGCCCCCGGTTAATAAAAAAGCTGTGGAGCCCCCAAAAAAAGGCGAAACAATCAAGGCTTCGAAGCGGTCACCTTCGCCTATGTCGCTTAAAGATCTGCAGACGCAAAATAAAATTAAAAAGCCAACATCGAAACGTGCTGAGAAAACAACTGCACGGCGTGAGTCTATGCCGCCACCGGCAACAAATTTCGTTGCGAAAAGTGTAAGTAAAAGCCGCAGTTTGTCCCCACCAAAAGGAGTTTTTGTTAAACCATTCAAAGTGCTTTTGGAAAGAAAGAAAATTGAGTTTTGCAATAAAATTGGCAAATCATCAAAAACGTCAACGCCGAAAAAACGTCTGAGCCAAGAAGACCGCTCCACCTCCTCTTTGAAAAAATGGCGAAAAATCACCAAAGAAAGCAACACCTACGAAGGCTCAACAAAAGTTGTTCGACCCTGCAGTACTTGTAAAGGCGCAACAGTTAACTCAGCTTAAGGTAAAACGTTGTAATGTACGTTTGCTGCGTCAAGATTTAGCAAAGCTTCAACAGGAATTTCGTGCAAAAAGGAAAGCTTTAAAGAAAAATAAGATATCTAATAAACAAACTAAAAATATTGGTAAAAACCGCAAGAGCAATAGTTCATCGCCATCTGAAAAAGGCTCTCCTCCCAAAAGGGGCCGGCCACCTTCTGATCCGAAGCCACAGTCTGGTTTCTTCATAAAATTAAATGCACTTACTAAATCTCCAAAATCAAAGGCAAGAGCAGATAAACCATTAAAAGAGAAGAAGTTTAGTACTGGATCCATTGCGAAAAGAGTTAACGCCGCTGCCGCGGTTTCTAGCACCAAGCCAACAAAGTTTACAAGAACACAACTAATAAAAATGTATGGCAAGCGCGTATTTTGTTCACGTGTTAAAATTGAACGTTGTTCACATCCCATGATGTTAATTTTTGAATCGAACGCCCGTGCCCGACGACTACAAGCTAAGCGTTCCAAATCTAAAAATCTGTCTGTGTCCTTTCGTGACCAGGTTGAAATATTTGGAGACAGTAGCGATTCAGAAGAAGCGGATTATAGTCAAATATTCGCACCCGATGTTGCTTCAACTTCACAAGCAGCACTAAAATCAGCAAATCCGGCAATTATGTCACTTACAGCGACGCCGGCTCGTCTGAAAAAAGTTGAAAACGGTAAAGTAGTCGATGATATTGAACTCGACCCCTCTCTCTTTGTTGCCCCGGCAATTGCTAGTACACCTTATGCATCGGCCGGACGAAAGAAGCGTGAGAAAAAATCTTTCAGTCCTCTAAAAGGTGACGGATCGCCTAGTCCTCGCAAGGAACAGCTAAAATTGGCAAATGAGAAAATGCCACCAAGTAGTTTACGGCGGTTAACTGCAGATGAAGTGGATGAGGATGACGATGAAGATGACGAATGTGAATACATAGGTAAGGTTAACCAAGAAGGAGAGATGACATTTTCCCGCCATTAAGATTATATTTACAATAAATTTATTTACTATGTAGTGCCCATCGAAATACCTGAAAGACGCATATCACGAACAAGTTCAGCAACCGCAGTCGATGATGTCGTTGCGGAAATTGAGCCGCAAGAACCGGTTCCCAATGAATCTGAATCTGCTTTGGTTGATAAAGGAATTGCAGATGGCAAATCAGGCTCTGGCCACGATTCCTCTGGGGAAAGTTTTGCTTCTGCAGTAGAACAACCGGCTTCTGTTGATAAATCAGGCAGTACTGAGCCAAATATTGAGAAGGGTGTTAATGAGGTAGCTGAAAATATTACAAATGGTGCAACAGCCCTAAATACTGAGTCTGTTGAAACAACTAAAGATGTCATGCCCGATGCGAAAGAGGACCTCGTTGACTCTGTCGCAGCAGAGTTACCTAAACTCACCCGCATTGATTCAGTATCACCTTCGCAATCATTAAACTCATTAAATGATATTGTAGACTCTCTTATAAACAACGTAAATGATGACCGCGGAACTGAAAGTACCGACTTGGCAAATACTATGGATGCAGAGGCAACAACAAATAACGGCCTTGAATGTGACACAAATGAGCAAAACGTGCCTGAAGAACTCTCTATAGGCGATACTAAATTGCGTGATACTCTGGATGACAATATATCACTGCAATTGTTTGCTGATGGTGAGTTATTGTAATGAAAGTTACTGGATATACGGATAAAAAATTATAAAAAATTTTCTTTTTAAAAAGACTCCACGATCAAAGATAGCGAAATTGTAGATGGAATTGTAAAGGAGCGTATCGATGAGATATCTAAAGATAAAAGTCTAGACTCTCCAGTTGAGGTATCTTCGAATATTTTGAACTCGAAGATGGGAGTCGAGTGATGATTTAGTATGTGTGAGACCTGTAGGTTTTCTAAAGTATTATAAAATTGGTAACTTATTAAATCTTCGCGTTTATTTTTCATTTCAGCTACATCATTCTCTACGCATAAAGTTTAGCGGTGTACAATTAAGATCGCAAATTTGTGAAGACTTATTATTAAGGATATATTATTGGTTATTTTTTAATTGAACCAACATTTTGTTATATCCCTAAGATTTTTTTGCGGGCATTTGCAGTCGTTTATATTGAACTATACTGACTATTAAGTGCTTTATTCCTTTCATAAATTGGTATACCGATATTTTACGAGTATCTCAAACAATTTGGTTCTTTGTTCACCTTTTTGTGTGTATATACCATAAAAACAAACAAGGAAAAATATGAAAAAAAGCATCTAGTTGAGAGTTACTTAAAGTAATTTAATACAAAATATGTATCTACAATAATATTATATTCAAGCACAATTTGTAATTTCAGTTCTCTACATAAATGTATGAAACCATTATACATTGAACACTGACGATAAATTGCATTGGCTCTCCAACACATACTTTGCTATGAACAAACAATTATAATTAACATTTCCACTCATTCAAATTTTAGGACAATTAACTTGTAAGTTGGTTTTATAAGAATTTCATAATTAAAAGTGTGTCCGTACCGTAAATTGATAAATAAACAATACTGAGAGATGAATTAGGATTTTATTATTAGGTAAGTGAAAAAATTAAATAAGTTTTAGCATATATTTATGTAAAATAGTTTATCTGGTAAGATAATGATGACTGCCTGCCCTAAGCATAGAGCAATCTTGAAGCCAGAAACATATGTCGTTTGCTATATCACATAACTTATATGTATTACACAGGGCAACACTGATTTTGGTGCGGCACATGTTAAAGCTTGTTTTGATAGACTTCTGTGCTGATTACGAATCTGTAAGTCTAAAGTTTCCATCAGATCCAGATTTTGTGAAAAACGAAAGCTCTAGCAAATAAGCAAAAGCTGATAGAGCCTTCGGTTTAGGCTCAAATTAAATCTAGAATTCTCAGCTACTATCAGTGAAAATACCATCCTTGCACCTGGACCCGATGGTCACTTAAAGTCATTTATTGAACAATAACAAAATAGTGGAGTATTGTGTTAGTGAAAGAAAAAAATTGTGCCAAAATCAGTTTTTGCTGTCCAATAAGTTACTTAAGTGACCTTAGGGTCAGGGTGCAGGGATGGTATCGTAATTTCAATCTGGAGTTGATGGAAATTTTATACTTACGGATTCGTAATCAGCACAAAAAAGTCTATCAAAGGCAGTTTTAACATTTGCCGCACCAACAATTTTTTTTCAATTTTTGTTGGCCTGTGTTATGCATTCAAATTAAAATTCAAAACTTTTTAATGGGCATCCGGCAGAAGAACCCAATTCAAATCAAGCGGTGCGATCGTTTGTTTAGCTGACCTCTGGATTTAGAAGTATTTGAGATTCAAATGTGAAGGCCGGAAGATCCTAAGAGGGCTTGTGTTGCCAAATTTTTTGTACTGTGAAGCGATAGGGATCGATCTAATTAGCATCGTAGCACGGATTTTGAAATAAAGAACAGTGCTGTTAAAACGTCACTTCACCTAGACGAAGTAACGCAAGTGGCTGATGTAGGTTCCAGAGAGCTTCGCAATGTTATCAAGGAAGCAAACGCTGCGAAGGTGTTGAGATGATTTCACCGAATCATCCTTAACCCTCTACGACTGATGTGGTAGTCTGGCAGACACTGGAGGTTCGACATTTTCCCGGGGCATTGATTACTAAAAACGTCTACTTTTCGACAAATAGTATTTTTAATGAGTATTTAAAATATTGATAGAATTTCCAGCTTAAATCGAAAAAAGTTTATTTATAAATATCTAATATACATAGATATTTTGATCTGGAAAATTGGTGTCTGAGTGACTACACGTCAGTATAATAGAGAAACTTCGGTCACGTCAGTAGCAGAGGGTCAAAAGAGGTGCGATAGTATGTCTACCGTGAATTCCGTAATAAAAACCTGCGCCAAATAAAGAGTTGCGGAGGTCTCAAAAGATCTATTGACAGTCTTGGACCAGGCCTAAATTTAAGATTTGCGGCCAGCTTCCGATAAGCGACATATCCAAGTTTTGGTTCTTATTTCCAGGCACTGCATTGCAATCACTCATTCGTTGAAGATATAAAAATTGAGAAAAAGCTGTTCAGGGCCATTTTAGCTACGGAAACGGTAAGGCACCCGCTCTAACGCAGTCTTATCTGTATTTTTTTTTAGCAAATTCCACCACTCAAAGAACATTATGGGCTAATCTATGGTAGAGTAAAGAAAATACTTCATGGACCCCCATCTCGTACCAAGAGCAGTTAAGTCAAGTCAAGCTGAAATACATACATGACCATATCAGAAAGGCCAATCAAATTCCTTTAATTGTTTTGGGAATCTTACATTTTCTAGAAAGTTTAGCTAGTTCCGCCTTACCAGGATCTATTTAACCGTCAACCCTGAAGAAACATTGGATCCATTCAGAAATCTACTTTTCAATAAAAATACTACGTCATCGGTGTAGGATTCCCTCCCATCAAGGTCATCCATCAGGTGAATATCGTCAGAAAAAAGTTGAAATGACGCCACCATGGAAAGGAGCTCTATTATCTCTGCGCTGTATAGAGGTGCTTCGACCACTACCGAGACAGTTCTGTCTCACAGTGTCCTTACCCAATTTACGATTAAGAGCAACCAGGTTAAAAAAATATAATGTGGCTGGAGTCTCCTTAAATAAATTTAATTTATGAAAACTCCTTACTTGGGTCCCAAACTGGACAAAGCTTTAAACATATACACGTACATCTCTGCAAGTCAGCATCATCATCCTAAAACCTCTTCGACGGTTCCAAAATGTATTACGGTGTAGGTGCGGGTGTTGTAGGTAAAATAGCTTTGGAGGGTCTCGCCCTGCAAGAAAGGGGTGCTTTATTTTTAGGCAGCTTGTGCTGTCTTCTAATCAGTAGACATTTGGCCCTATACACCGAAGGATGCAGTTTAACTGCCGGCTAAAATAGCTCGTGAATTTCTTCGGGTTCGACGAGGCATGGCCGCCGAAAGCGATTTCCACTTTGCCACTCAGGGACCTCACGGCTGACCAGAGCTTACTTCCACCAGAGACGAAGTTGTAGGTCTTTAAACGCTGCTCCCACTTCTTATTTATCAGTTGTCGAATCTCCAAATTAGGATTCTTAAGGTCGAGGCCACGCAACGAGCGGCACAGCGGTGAGCGGCTGAGCGGCGCCATAAAAAAGGCGGGTACGCTAGGTGGTAACGCTCGTTCGCGAGAACAGCCGCTTCTGAAAGGGCGGCGAAGTCGGTAATATTCGGGAAGCCGTTCCAATAAGCTTTGTTGAAGTTGACATAGGTACGGTGGTCCACGGAAACAAAGTGGCTAGGCTTATTGATAGAGAGGTAAGCAGCTGCCCACGATGCCGAATCGTCTACATACTCAGCCAATAGGTTTCTCCTACGATCGTTGGTTAGGCTTGAGTTCCAAAAGTTTTCCCCTCTGAGTAGTGCACTAATCTCAGCGGGTACGTAAACGGTAAATATTTCGAGCTCAACATCGCCTGACTGGACAGCCATATCTCTTCATTCAAGGGTGGTGTCCCTGGGGTCGACGTCTTCTTCGATTGGACGATACTGCACAGTGTGATGTAGGAAGATCGATAGACCACCACCATTGTCTCGCTCGCAATCGAGGCGCAACTCAGCAGTGGTGCAACTGCGATGACATAACTGTGCAACTTAGTTTCTTGGATCCCAGCTATCAGTATGCCGGGCCGATCCATAAATACAGTTATCTGTTCCATCTTGCTCCGAAGTCCGTTGCAGTTTCAGCGGCCGTGTAGGCGTGTGATGCCCTATAGCTTGAACAGCAGGAATTAACAATATTTGTGGTCCTCTCCCTATGTGAGCTAAGGCGTGACCAGGTTCTTAGGTGATTCCATCCGTTGGAGGTATTGCACCTGGAGTTGGGATGATGCCGTCTCTGGCAAACACAGCAGAAGTTGAGTTCTACAGTTTTAAACGAGACTGCCCGGAGTACATATACTATTTAAAGTTTTCAAGATTTGGATAGCCTTAACAAAAAAAAAATGGATTTCGATATCTATTAAGTAAATTCCTTACTCTACAATTTAGGTGGCAACCCTATTCCGAAATACGCTGGAATGTATCTTGAGCGTATATGTACTGTGTATACATACATAAAAAAAAGTTGACTGAAATCAAAAAAATAAAAATTTGTATTACATAGAAGCGTGGCAATCCTTATGGAAAATATTTCATTTGATATCCGCAATGCGATTTTTTAGATAAGGTGCTTAGAATCGAAAATAGGTGGCAACCTTACACTATTATCCTAAGAGATAACATTTTGTATATAGGAAAAGCGTTGTTTAAGAACCTGCTCTTGGTACCCATGCATAGTAATATTTTACCTTTTTGTTCTAAACAAAAAATTAAATAAATATGCGATTCAAAATAGGTGGCAACTCTCTTCAAAATATTTTTGAATTAGGGATCTTTAAAATACCTTCCATTTGATACCTATATTATGATGCTTTAATTAATTTATAAAAAATTTCGTATAGGTGGCAACCTTATGCGTTAGAGCCGCTTCCGAGAATCCTATGGATATATACATATACACAAGAATGTTTAATGTAATATGATTTAAAGTATATTCTTTTAATTTTTTAAGTATTTTTGTTTTATTTGAGTATAAAATATATATGTATGTATATCTATTTATTTTTGTATTTATTGTAGTATACATAGATTTATATATGTGTGTATGCATGCTTCAGCCTGAGTTGTACGATTTCATACAAATTCGTTGTCTTCCCAAGCGAATGTATCCTCGATCTTGTCTTCAAGTAAACAGTAAATTTTGTCTTTTTTCAACTCTTCAACTCCCATTGTATTCCAAAATGCTTTGCAACTATTTTTCCACTGACGCAAATTGTAAAATCCACAAGCCTTCTCCTGGCTGTTCTTCAGCAAATCCATAAGGGAAGGAAATATCTTGTCGGCCTTCAATTTGGCCAACATGTAATGAGCTTTCTTTCGATTCAAGGCATCTCCAAGTTTACCAAAAATTTGCTTTGCACGCATAAATGCATTGAACGCTGTTCTTTGAGATTCTGTGTCCATTTTAGACGCATAAATTTTTCCAATAGCAACACACACTTCAGCTTCCCGTCTTTGAGAAAGACTTTTAATTGCAAACTTTAAAGCTTCTTTCAGTTTGGCAATTGCGCTATTTATATCCTTTTGACTGAAAACAAAATGGATATAGATATTACTTGTTGAAAGAGCAACTGCGCTAAAGTTTCTACTTACTTCCACAAACAGATGCCTTCATATAAATACAGATCACAGAATATTTTAGGTTCGGTTACTGTAGTATCCTTGGCCAGATCTTTCTGCACTCTTAGCAATAACTTCGAAGAGGACTCGTAGTTCTCAGAATTCAGCATATATTTGGCACGTGAGATGAGGGCCCGTATATATTCCAGTTTATTCTTCTCTATGCCGACTATGCCGGAAATTGGAAAAGATAAGAGATATAGTGAATTTGATATAAATTAGAGCGGAGTCGAAATATGATTAGCAAGACTATGTTAAGTG